TTCTTTTGTTTCTAAAATTAAAATTCCATTGCCATTATTTGGTTACAGAATCCTATAAACGTCAACAAAGGCATTATTTATGCCTCACTGGGAATCAGTAATAATATTGATTACTATTTTAGTTAATAGTCCCTCATTGTGACTGATCGGTATATTAAAATTATATTTCCAACTTATCTAAGCATCTTCTTGATCTAAAATGTGAGTAAGTTTATTATAAACTTTAATAAAAACAACCTAACAGCAATATTATGAGGCGAAATTTTTTTCATTTAGAAAGCATAATTAAATGAAGTTATAATATTATTAAAAAGCAATATCAAATATGACACATTATTATATTTCGGTGGTAATTTTCCCCATTGCTTAACTCCGTTTTGGGTTGGCAATTTATCGCGTTTAAAAATTATTTACATGAACTGAAACACCTTTATGAAATATGGAAAGGCAAAGGTAAGTATCTGCTATAAATATCTCCCATTCGCTGAGATTTCAAAACGTCAGGGGTACTGACAATAATTGATGGATTCATATCAATAAGCTGACGTCAATAATATAATAGGTTGGGGAAAAAGTATTTTCGCATTATAGTATGTATGAACGTGTAATAAAATCTCTTTAGCTATACCATTTGTATCTGGCTGGTTTTGGTGTCATTAAAAAGTTTAAATTTTAAAGAAGATATTTCCAAATTCAAATTAGAAATATGTGTTATTTCATTTGTTTTTCTTACTGCCAATATGAGTGGATCTAATGAAGAAATTAGATACATTTTACAATTTGACTACAAAAAAGGTAAAAATGCAGCGCAAGCCGCAAAATTTTTTTCGATGTTTATAGACCTAGTGCAGTGACTGTAAGAGTATCACAAATTTGGTTTAAACGTTTTCAATCCAGGAATTTGGATGTCAAAAATGCACGTCGCTCTGGTCGCCCCATTATGGATAAAATATATGCCATATTTGAAAAAGTGGAGCAAAATGCAGTGGACATATCAGTAGTTACGACGTAGCTGAAGAACTGGAAATTGAAAGCAAAACAGTTTTGGCGCATTTGAAAAAAAGCTCGATATTTGGGTGCCTCACGAGCTCACTGAAAGAAACCTAATGAATGTAGTCCTGACCTTGCACCTTTAGACTTTCACCTGTTTTGGTCTCTACAGAATTCTTTAGGCAGTGTCAGGTTAATATCACCGCTAGTCGCGGTTTTTTGATCAGAAGCCCAAAAAATTCTATAGCAATGGGATCATCATGTCTCTACCTAAAATATGTCAAAAAGTTATCAAACAAAATGGCACCTACATACTTTAGTTAAATGTAAATAAACTATATTAAAAATTGACAAAATTTTCATATAAAATGCGAAGAAACTTTTCCCCCAACCTTAATATAAGGGGTACTTACCAACCATCTCATTCGCTTATTTTAATATGTATACAACGTTTATCAGTAGGTCGGTTTGGGGACGGCGTTACAAAGGGGGTTATTTTGGGAACACGCCCTCATTCTCTCCACTACCGCCAAGGCATTGATTGTAAATTGATGGGAAAACTTGAGAGGCGTCATAATTGGATTTGTTCTTAATGAGCCGTGCCTTTGTCGCTCGTTGGTGCTAACGATTTCAAAGATTATCGATTCCCTTTCTCGGGCTGTTGTTACATCTTTTGCAACAGCAAAGTTTCCGTTTTATTTTTTGATGCTGAATTAAAACCTCGTTACTCGACGGCATCGACAGTTCAAAGAACTTTAAGATGGGGGTAAATAGAAATATTTATATAGAAAAAAAAAGTTACTAGTGTAGGCAATGTTGTTAATTTCTCTTTTTTTGTTTTGTGTTAGCAGTTTCAAAAACCTTTCAATGCAATTATTTGAGTAAAAATACAAGATTTGTGTTGGATTGTAAGCTCTTTAAATTAATCAATAATTTAAATATATTTTGCCAAAAGTTAAGCTTCAAATTAATTCCTATATAGACGAAATATTATCTGGGAGTACGAGCGTACTCTGGAATGCTGGAAAGTCTATATGTATGTATATAATAAGTTATTTTCAAAACTCTACAAAGCTTTTATTTTCAAACTTTGTAGAGTTCAAAATTTCTAACTGGCTTGCAAATAGAAAAAATATAGTTACTCTTTGTTCCTCATCGATTTTTGTAACGAGTTGAATATTAATCACCGCGCATTCTTTGAGGAAAGTACTGTGCAAGCCTTGGTCCACACAACATAAGGACCATAAAACATTCAACTTCGCACAACCAACTCCAGATTCACGAAATAACAGGCCTGACTGACACGTTACCATTTCCCAAAAGTTTAATATAACCCGTTTCCTATCAAACATACCCATTCCCATTTGAGTGAATCCCTAAATTCATCATCCGTCACAAGAGAAAGGAATCCATCGCCGCCGTTATTATTAAATTAATATAATAACGGATGACGCCCACTCGTTTGTCATTCGATTACTTGAGTTTCTGATAATATCTAGGGCGCAACAACATTTTCATTTACCTTAAAAATGTGAAGTTAATCCACGAATTTATCGAATTTACAAAAAAGGGGTCTTTTATTTCTTGAATTTTTTCTATGAATAATCACATTTTAAAAACATACAACTATTAAAAAAAAATCAAGGGATCAAATGCGTTTTTAATACTTTTATACAAATCTATATGTTTCGAAACGCAGCTCATACCTTCATTTAGTCACAATAAAGCTAATTGTGTAGGACAAAATACTGAATTTTGTGGTAAAATACAACAAAAGTTATTTAAAAAGTGGCTCTTCAATCTAAACATCTGAATTGAGTAGCCACCTGGAATTCGATTAGAGGTTATAGATAAATTTAACAAAGACCATCTAATACACTTATCAATCCAGAAATTAAAAAGGAAAAAAGATTATTCTTTTTTTATTTTTAAGCATTTATCTGCTAGATGTTTAGTCTAGAAAGTATTACTAGAAAAAAATCCACTCGGTCCTGATTGCAGACTCGAGGGATTCGAGCCCGCATCTTCCGCTATCCGGGCGGAAAACTTAGTGTGGGCCATAGAATTACGTAAACTCAATGAAATATAAATGTTCCTACATCATGTACGGCTTAATTGTCAAAAGTGCATGTAAGCATTTTATAATTATAAGCAATTTTATAACTTTATTATTCATCATCATCAGCATATTAATGTCCCCACTGCTGGGGCACAGGCCTTCCCTGTGGATGGAATAGGGAGTTTGGGTCGTGACCCACCAGACGGGCCCGGAGAGGGTTGGTGGGTGCTAACGGCTGCAGATGCAGCCGAGACCAACGGCTTAACGTGCCTTCCGAAGCACGGAAGAGCTCAATATAAGTAGTAAATTTTTGGTCAATGACAGACCGCGAAAGTAGCTTAACTACAACGATCGCAGCCGAACGCGCTAATCACTTGTGCCAGTGAGCTCTTCTAAACTTTATTATTGAGTTCACCTTATTACCGCCGCGGCATTAAACGTACTCATATTTCATATCATTTAGCAAGTAATCAATCAGGGGTTGGACAGTATAATTATTATTTCATATAAATTCTTTTCTTTACTATCACTTAGCAATAATTATCTCAAGGTGTTTGGTAGCAGACCACACATCTATGTGATGATTATTGCTAAGTGTATCATTGCAAATTAAATTATATTATTCGGGCGGAAGATTAGACAATCTGCAATTTCTTACTATTTTTTTAACACTATTTTGATGTTGTAGGTTAACTACAATGCGAAGAGATGGCGCTGCCTTGCAACTGAAGAAATACTAGAGGAAATTCGAGTGCGTCCGTCCGGATAGCGGATAAGGCAGGTTCTGGTTTTTTTTGAATAATATTTCAGAGAGAAATAGATTTGATTTTTCTATCATCAAATGTATTATACTAGCAAACCAGTGAACCAAATGTTCACCAAAACCTGATTTAAAAAAAATGTATTTAATTAATTGAGAACTTCGGAGATTTTGTGTGGTTTCGTTTGAAATTCGTGATTTCTCGAAAACCGGAAGTGCTACGTTACTCAAATCCGGTTTGTAGTCTTATCAGACTATTCTTAACTTATAACTTAAATATTCTCTTTATCTATCTCTTACGGTTTGGCCGCTGAAACAGCACCACAGACGGACGGACTTGTCTAATAGATAAGAGATGGAAAACGCGCTCGTCTTTAAAATAGTTCTTTGCTCTCGTTTTAATTAAACCATCTAATTTTTTTTCGGTCTGTGTCTGTCGATAAGTGAGGTTCCAGGACTCAGGACTGGATAGGTAGATCATGGAGCCAGGGTAGACAACTTGTCACCAGTGATACACTGTTGTTGCAAGCTATATAGTGCAGGCTACTGGCCACGTGTTTATTTGCCATTTTTTCAACATTAACACATTCTATGAAAATTAAATAATAATATGATTCACTATTACTAGCTGGAGCTCGCAACTTCTTCTGCGTATGAATATATTATCCGTAAAACTGTCATCCAATCAATATTTCAACCCCTTTCACCGATAAATCTAATGAAAAAAGGAGCCTAAATTATACTTCAACGTAACTTTATTCAGCGTATAAAATTTCTTGAATATAAATTTTACAAAGTAATGTCGTATTGTTTTTGTACTAAGTAGTATTAAAAAAGAAAAAGACTTAATTCAAAAACAAATTTTAAGTAAAATCAGTCAGCGTTTAATAAAAACGACTTCTAACTCATATTATTAAACATTAAACTATGTAAATATATAGCGAGTGTTGTTACTATAATAATATACTTACATCATAAATGTTAGCTTTTTATTAAGTTATACGTTTCAGAATACAAAAACGTATTGGAAGGTATACCTACCTATATAGGTAGGTATATGCTGTACTTATACATTTCTAAAACTAATCTCCATTCGCGTAGCAAAACCCGGTTTTATTTGCACATAATTCTCGGACGTGATAAGATTTTTATTGCCCATTAAAAATGAACACAAATACACGTCTTACTTACCTCTGTTTACGGCGTTTGGCTTGAACCCTAATCTCCTTCCATGTGCTCAGACGAAGGCGAGACTATGAACACTTGAGACAGAATACGATAAAGCTAAGAAAAACCGGTGACAGTTTTTTAATAATTTAGTTTAAGTGTACAGCCGATGGCAATGTTGGTGCGATACGCCTACGTACGGTACAGACACAGACGAACACGATCGCGGCGCGCGGGGCACTGACCAAGCTTGCCTGCGCCGCGCCGCCCTTTGCGAAGTCTACGCGAAACCTGAAAGAGTGTTTTTAACGCAGAGGGGTGAATAGGCAGGAAATTGAACGATTGGAAATATTACTACAATCGTGAATTTATTAGTCTCACCTCATCCTGCTTCCTACAAATTGTATGACGAAAAATTGAATCATCCTGATAGTAGTATGCCCTTTGTGCATTAGTTAGTGTGTATAAAATATCTTCCGCATATTTTTTCACAATAAATTAAACAATGCTGTTATGGAAGGTATTTTACTTGTTTGCATAGAATTTAAGAAATTTTATTTGTTTAAACTTTTATAAATCAAATAGATGGAATGGAAATAGTTGAATGAACGATTTAATTTAATAATTTATTTATTGGAACCACTTGACATTATAAGAGTACATGATAATCTAGAGCCCTGCCCTCTGTAAAAGGTTACCCTGAGGACCAGAGGACAGTACTCTCGCCACTATTATTAAGTTTACAAATTATTGAAGTTGCGGTATAAATATGTAATTTCAAGCTAAATTTACGGATGGCTTTCGATTAAAATCATTTCCTTATTCGTCATTTTTACGGATTTAACTTAAACCACAACTAAGTTACTATCTCTTGTACCCATCATTTATATAGGTAGGTAGGTACAGCCTTTTTTGTCTTGTCACGTCTGCATATCTGATCTTTGTCCGTATTCGATTCCGGACCGGGCTGCGAAGCACGCTCGCCCTTCGCAGACCTTTGTTTCATCACCATGGTGCCCGATCGTTTTGTCATACGGTTTCCACAATGAAATCTAAAATTAGGTTATTTTATGCGAAATTACAAATTCATTTTAAATTAGACGCTCATTAAATCTCGTTTAATGGCTATTGCAGTACACGTACTGAGCAAATCATTATTGTTGTATAAACGGTAAAGATTATTATACAAAAAAGCGTGTGCGTCTCGGGACGCACGACAGAAGTGATAACTTAAACTAATCGGAGAGGAAGGGAAGCCAGACTAACTGGCGCCGTAACGCGTTACGTAACGAAGCGGTTTACCCTCCCATAAGAAGTTATCACTTCAAAAACATTTGAACCATTCATAAGGACATCGAAATCAGTTTTAAAATTTAGTCTCACCCTCAAACGAAAACCAACGTACTAAATTACCCCCTTAATAATAAACAAAGAATAAACTACGACTAGTTACGCCGTGTTTTGTTTAATAAACAGAGGCAAAAAATTGAGCCATAACAATTATTCTTCGTTTATTAATAAGGTTTTTAAGGTTTCTTTAAAGGAAATTCATGAAATCAACGCGTAAAATTAATCCAAACGAAAGCATACCACATTGGAAATGAGTATTGTAACTAACCTACGGAATAATTATCTCAAATTGTTCCGTAGTATCCGCGCTACGAAACTGAGGCGGTCGCTACGATAATTGCGTTACAGAATGGCTGTTTCGTAGACAGAGCGGTGCGGTACTGCCTGCTAATGAATTTTTGTACAAAAGACATTACAAAAGGTCATAATTAATCAGAAATCCACTGAGCATGATAAAAAATCATTTCATTAGCGAGTAATTAAGATAAGAAAAAAGGTATGGTTTTTACAGAGCTGTTTGCTTTTCGTGTAAGAAAGAAAAAACAAATCAAATTATTAAAAAAAATACGAAGTCATCGTTTGCGTGATTGTGATTAGTTATTTGATAAACTGAATTTTGTTCAAGCTACAGTCATCTGACATTATACCTAGTACAGAACTAGGATCTTGACAAACTTGCAGAAAAAATAGCTAGCTTTATTCAATATTTTATTAAATAACTTTGATCCGAATTCTGTACCATACCGGTTTTATGCACATACACACTTAGTAATAAATATTTATTTTGTAAGTTTTAACGCATACCAATGATTGAATAAAACACATTTTGTTCGGATAAAGCACTATTTTAATATATATTTATTCATTATTCTTGACGTATGTTATCTAAGCGGCTACACGGCTACGTTTTACTGCGGGAAAATATTTCTAAGTGTCGCCGCACACGGGCTACCGACCCCAGCCACAAAACGCCGCGACCGGCATATTTCTTGTAGTTTCATACCTTAAGAACAAATCCTTGCTCGCTTCTTGTGGCCCGCACCGGCCACTTGATGCGCCGATACAAAACGCCGCCACACGTCACTCGCGCGATTCCCCACCCCTCTCTCACTTACCTTAGTCGGCCACTGTCGCGCACTTTAACTACTTTAGTAGCCGCTTCTAGCTTCTCGTGGCGGCCTTTGTGGCTGTGGCGTGTTGCCCGTGTGCGGCGACACTTATAAACCGCGGGTAACACCAAAGGGCACAGCTAGTACGCTATAATAATACTCTCTGTACACAAAAGAAATACACACGGATATGCCTATGCGCCAATAATGAACACTACTCACGAATTGACTCATCACTATTTATTGCAACGTCATACCTACACATCAATATATAGACAATAGTCTTAATATACAACCTTTGAATTGGCAGGTGCATTAAATCAGTTCGATTTTGATCTTTATTCACTGGTGATAAGGCTGCGCGGCCACCTGGCCGTAATGAAACGTTGAAAGGAACAAAGCGCAAATGGCCAACAAAAGCGATCCGGACAATGTTGTGAAGCCTCCCTGTGCGGTGTATTTTCTATTTAGACATCTAGAAATTATTCCTAGTACGGTTAGTGAAAAAAAGATAAGTATTTGCTTCTTAGATTTTCACGCACATCACTCATACATAAATAAAATAAGTGCATCTAATCCGTTGAAACTTGTTTTATTTAAAAGATAAGAAGTTTACGTTACAGGTATGTTTATACATATTTAGTTAGAAAATCTATGTCACAATCTGAAAATCATTTTCTTTGGAGTTTAAGAGTTTTTTTTTTTGCCTTGACAACATCTTATAATTCGATGGAGCCGGCTGCACGCACGAAAAAACATGACTCATGCGGCGTTACCTCGCTCTGAGGCGTTCCATTTAAGGCTTGAAGTGCAAGCGATAGCGCACAACGAGCGACAAAGAGGCACAATCGGCCTCCGCGTTCGGCAGCGTTCGACATCTTGCTCTCCTACTTCAGTGAGCGATGCGTCCGCGTGGACAGCTGCTATACAATAATACATTTACATGTTTTCGTCAAGTATGAAGTGCACTGAAAAGGGCACATTCATACTTGTAAAAACTATGTACATTGTAAAAAAACGTTGTCACGTTCAACTATCGTCAGTAAACCGACTTTACAGACAACCATTTTTTTTTTGTTAGAAAAGTGGCAAACAAACATTTGCCCCGCCTGATGGTAAGCGGGCACCATAGCCTATAGACGCTTGCCATACAAAAAATATCACCCGCGCCGTTGCCTACCCTGACCCAATCCCCTACCCCGTGGAGTCCTGGAACATTACTCACGGACAGAAACACAACACCACCAAAAAGTAGGGTTGTTTTACTGTAGCCCTCTGTAAGGTTGAGGTTACTTCCCCATACAGGCGCTCAAATTCGCTAGGGATATGCGCAGTGCCTCTATTTTAAAACTATTGTTTGTAAGTTAATCATTCACTTTAAATCTAAAGTTTACTAAAAAAAATTCACGCGGACCAGGCAGCAGACGGGACTCGAACCCGCGCCCTTTGCTATCCGGGCGAACGTACCAATTATGATACCGCGGCCCTAATGACCGTTTCGATTTTTTCTTAGGCTGCAAGGCAGCGCTATCTCTTCACATTGTAGGTAACCCACAATTTCAAATGAAAACCTTTACAAGCATTAAACATTCGAAACAAGTAATAGCAATTAAAGTTATATATTTTATTGCTAGATGTTTTTAAATCTAAAGAAAAGTTTACCTGGTCCGCGTGGATTATTTCTAATAAACTTTTCTTTAGATTTCAATTGTATTCTTAACTTACACACAAAAGTTTTTAAAAAGAAGTATGGCATAGCGGATATCCCGCGCGAATTGGAGCACCTGTATTTGGAGATTTCGCTATTTGAACAAATGCAAACTTTAAATTGTACACTTTAAAATTAATTTAATGAAAACTAGCGGCCGTATGCGACTGCACCCGTGTCAATTTATTTCCTAAAAATCCCACAGGAAGCTTACATTTATCTGGGATAAATAGAATCCTATGTCTTAACCCAGGTCAGCTATGCGTCCTCCCCAATGTGGGAGGGCCGAGGGCGAAGTGCCGTCGGCTTTATCACTCCGTGATAAAGTCGATGGCGCTGTACGGGGCCCCGGTCTGGGCGGAGTGCCTCTCGTCCCGCACGAGGGCCCTCCTGCGAAGACCGCAGAGGATCATCGCGGCCCGGGCCGTGCGGGCTTACCGCACGGTCAGCCACGGGGCTGCCTGCGTCCTAGCAGGCACGCTCCCGTGGGAGGTTGATGCCCTGGTACTGTCCCAGGTGCATCAACACCGGGTCGCGGCAAGAGAACGGGGCGAGCGACCCGTTCTAGAGGAGACTGAACGGGTCCGCACCGAGGCGCAGAGGGAGGCTCTGCGCCGATGGGTGGAGGCACTCGCCAACCCAGCCGCTGGCCACCGGACGATCGAGGCGATTCGTCCGGTGTTGGAGGAGTGGGTAGGGCGCCAGCGGGGCACCCTCACCTACCGCCTGGTGCAGGTACTGACCGGACATGGATGCTTCGGTCACTACCTGCACCGAGTCGCCCGTCGGGAGGAGATGCCGCGGTGTCATCACTGCGCCTCTCCCGACGACACGGCCGAGCACACGTTGATCGTGTGCCCGGCCTGGCGAAATGAGCGTCGCGATCTGATCGCGGCGCTCGGCGGAGGAGGCCTCACGCTGCCAAGTATGGTAAGAGCCATGCTTGGTAGCGAGAGAGCCTGGAGGGCGGCCGCCTCCTTCTGCGAATCTGTGATGGCACAGAAGGAGGCAGCGGAGAGGGAGCGGGAGGAGGACGCTCTAGCCCCCCCTCTCCGGCGTAGACG